ATTTTCACAATTGCCTTCTATTTACACTTTGATACTTTCCGTGACACTTAAAGGATAATGGCATTTAAAGAAGTGATATGGCTAGAGATATAAAATTTAAAAATTGTGGCTAAGCCCTGGGAAGCATTGTTCCATAAATGAAGGGTGGCGGGTTTGATTCACAGTCAGGGCACATAAGGGAAGCAACAAATCTCTCTCCCCTCCCCTCACCTCCTCTCCTTTCCCCTCTCCCTTTTCCCTTCTCTTTCTCCCCCTACCTTCCTTTCTCTCTAAATGCTATTGGAAAATGTCCTCAGGTGAGGATTAAAAATTTTTTAAAGAAACTGTTGCTGAAACCATTACTGGATGAAGACTACAACGAATGAGTTAAAAACAAATACCTTTTAGATGCTGAAGATTCCTTGATCACTATTGAAGGGTCATCTACCCCTCCCCTTTAGAGCAATAGAATACTGAAAAGAAGTCCTTTCTGTGATTTGGTACACATCTCGTACAATTGGAGCTTATACAATTAAAGACACTGCTGCCAGCCCATGTCTCAGTGTGGCAACATTGACTTACCTGCTGAAGACTGGCGTCTCCTTTTGTTTCAAGTAAATCCTGAGTTATCAAAAGAGGCTCGCTTTTCTCACAACTCCCCTGGCTGATGAGTGTGTCAGCATAGTTGGGCTGTGGGAAGATCAAGTGACTCTTCCGAGAGTCCGCAGTGAGGGAGACCTCATGAGAATAGGTCTGCAGGAAAGCCTGCACCCCGTCCATGCCCACAAAGTGTGAGGTGGGCAAGCTAGCCAATCCCCCTCCTGAAGCCTGGAGCAGACGTGACTTATGCCAGCGCCGCAGTCTGAGTGCCAGCAGCACAATGACAAAGGCAAGGAAGAGGCAGGAGACTGCAGCCACTGCCACCACCAGGTACAATGTGAGGTCTGAGGCCTCTGGGGTTGAAGGGATCTCAAGACTGCCTATATCAGCCAACAAGTCTGGGATGCTGTCAGCCACAGCCACAGTGAGTGTGACAGTTGCTGAGAGAGGAGGCTGTCCATGATCCTGGACGGCCACCACCAGACTCTGCTTGAGTGCATCTCTGTCCAGCAGGGCACGTGCAGTGCGCACCTCACCTGTGTGCAACCCCACCACAAAGAGCCCTGGTTCACTGGCCTTGAGCAGGCGGTAGGACAGCCAGGCATTCTGGCCTGAGTCTCTGTCTACTGCCACCACCTTAGTCACCAGGTATCCGGGTTCTGCAGAGCGAGGTGCCAGCTCCACACCAGTAGAACCGTCTGTGGGGACAGAGGGGTACAAGATCTCTGGTGCATTGTCATTCTGATCCAGAACAAATAGGCTTAGAGACACATTGCTGCTGAGTGGAGGATCCCCGTTGTCACTGGCTGTCACCAGTAGTTGAAGGTCTCTAACCTGCTCATAGTCAAAGGAGTGCAGCGCATAGAGGACCCCTGTGTTAGAGTTGATAGAGACATAGGAGGAGAGAGGCTCCCCTTCGAGCGTGCCTTCAGCCAGGGAGTAAGTGACTCTGGCATTCTCAATGCTGTCAGGGTCCTGGGCAGTCATGGATAAAATGGAGGCTCCTCTGGGGTTGTTTTCAGGAATGTAGGCAGAGTAAGAAGCATGAGAAAAGGCAGGAGGGTTGTCATTGATGTCTGTCAGCTTCAGTGAAATGTGAGTTTCTGTAGACAGTTGTGGAGTTCCATGGTCAGTGGCAGTTACTGTGATGTTATATTCTGAGACTTCTTCCCTATCCAGAGTTCTGTGTGTCAACAATCGATAATAATTTCCATAGGCCTTTTCAAGTGTGAATGGCAGATTATTTGGAATAGAACAGGTGACAAGGCCATTCTCTCCTGAATCACTGTCATGCACATTGAAAAGTGCAATTACTGTGCCTGGAGAAGAAGTTTCTTGGATAGAGCCGGTGAGAGATGTAACCATGACTTCTGGAGCATTGTCATTTACATCCAGGACTGTCACCAGTACCTTACTCCTGGCTCGGAGACCAGGACCATCATGAGCTTCTATATCTATATCATAGAATCCAGAGTCCTCATAATCTAGATCCCCCAGTATTGTTATATCCCCAGTCATAGAATCCAACTGGAATAGCTGTGATATTTTATCTCTTACTTTCCGGAAAGAATACGTCACTTCTCCATTGGCTCCTTCATCTGGATCAGTGGCTTTTACGGTGACGATGCGGGAGCCCACCGGCACATTCTCCCGAACGCTCACGTGGTACTCGGGCTGAGTGAATAGGGGGGCATTGTCATTGGTATCCATAAGTGTTATACGAATCCGGGTAGTGACAGAGTGAACCAGGTCGCCTCCATCGAAGGCAGTGAGAACCAGGTGGTGAACCGCCTCTTCCTCGCGGTCCAGAGCGCGCTCCAACACCAGCTCAGGGTACTTTATGCCATCAGCTCCGTTCTGCACGTCCAGGGAGAAGTGAGCATTGGAGCTGAGCTGGTAACCCTGCAGGGAGTTTATCCCTACATCCGGATCAAAAGCTTCAGGAAGAGGGAATCTTGTCCCAGGACTTTCATGTTCAGCGACTTTTATTTCTCTTTGCTCTGTCCCAAAGTTGGGTGCGTTATCATTAACATCGATTATTTCCACATCTACTCCAACAATCTTCACTTTGTCCTCTAGGAGAACCTCCAGGCTTACTACACACTTTGGAGATCTATCACAGAGCTCCTCCCGGTCTATCCTGCCCGCGGTGACCAAGCTGCCGCTTCTTGGGTTCAGAGCAAAGAGCGGGGTCCTACCTCTGGAGACGATGCGGACTCCGCGCTCCGTCAGCTCCCGGGGCTCCAGCTCCAGGTCCTTGGCGATGTTGCCCACGAAGGAACCTTTCTCTAGCTCCTCAGGCACAGAGTAGCGGATCTGTTGGGCCCGGATTTCCCACAGGGTCCCCAGGAGAAGGCAAATCCCAACCAGCCTGTTCAGCTTGCTGCAGACTGGACGATAAGGAGGAGCCGCCATTGTAACCCCACCGCAGAGAAGCTTGCGCTTGGGTTTCCTCTCGGTGGAGGCCTGAGGAGCCTCAGGATCGTAGTATTCCAAGATAACGTACTTTCACCGCCGGCTGGATCTCGGGGGTTCAGTTTGGAGCTTTAGTGAAGCCCCAGGGTCAGTGCTTTGTGATGCAGAAATCTTGTGGCTCACGTGAAATTCCCAGTTGCTGTTTCCCTGATTGGTGAGCAGCGACACCCAGAGTCCTAACCTGTTATTGCAAGCTGTTCTTGGTAAAACTTCACCTGAGTACCCTATTTCTTTTCCGTATCCTATCTCTCCCTAAAGAATAAAAGTCAAACTCCTGTTTTTATTTGCAATAAAAACAGAAACAATCAAATTCTTCCTGTGCAATAATCCTTATAAAGTAATTAATTTTTCAGAGAAAATCTGGTGATTTTTTTTGCTAAGAAAATTTTAGTTTTTGCATCATTTATTTTCATAGTCTATTTTCAGGACAGTGTATTGTGTGAGAGACACATTTGTCCCAGCCAGGAATGAGGATGGACTTGAAGAACAGAAAAATACATGAAACACCAGTGTCTGGGAAGTTGGAAATCTGGACTCTAGTCCCAACCTATGCAGAAACATGTTTCTTCACAGGAATGGATCTTTTAGAATCTAGGGTGACGTTTTAGTTCTCCAGAAAGACAATATCAATGGTTCAAGAGCTAGTTTTATCCCTGTGCCAATGGGATTGGCAAATATAGTAATTGGTTTGGGAAGAGAATTTGCTCATTAATTTTCTATACAAAAGATTCTAGGCCAAGGGCTATGTCTGTGACTATCAGGTTCACAATGTATCCTCAGACTTTAGAACACCACCCTTCATAGAGTACTCATGCAAATAGTTTTTCAATGTTTAATGAATGAGTCACTAAAGCAACTGCAAAGCCTAAAACAATGGATAAATAACTCTGATCTTAAAAATTAAAAAAAAAGACAGAAAGGTTAGAGTGAAGAACTTTAAGAGCAGACAGTACTTCACTCACCTTTTTTCAACATAAGGACACATCCAGAAGGTACTATTTTACCATTATTTCTAAGTTTACTTTAGCTTTGATTTCAGACATAACGAGTAAAAGGAAACATTTTAATAGTTATATATATATTGTCTTTGCATGTTTCTCAGTTTTATTATTCAAGAAAACTTAGAGTAATTTACTAACCTGGGAAAACTTGAGATAAATGAGCAAGTACCCAGTTCTTTAGATTATTCCCCACATAATAATTAACCTCTACAAATTACTCATAAATTTTAACCAAATGCAAAAGTCCATTGACTATTCAGAGCTTTTAAATCTTCAGACTTTGTAGAGTAGATTAAAGGCAGGTTTAACAATTCTCAAAAGATCCACAAATTGCCAGGGATGGGGAGGAAAAAAATATTCATTACATTTATTATTAAAATAATGACAACATAGAATGGGTATGAAAATAAATTATTAAAGGAAGATTAAGAAAATTACTCTTAAATGAGATTATGAAGTGGGAATAAATTGACCCAAAGGTAGTGATTCAAATGTATAAATCTGACAGTCTTGCTACATGCGGTAAGGTCAAAAAGTGCTAAGACACTTATCAATTCAAAAGTTATATTAAAAATACACATTGCAATGAAAAATAACAACTAAGATGTATTTGATATTTAATGTAGGCAGAAAGAACTGCCAGCACATTTATAAAGAGTAAAGCTTGGAAAAAAAGTATCACACATCAACTAAGAAATGGTTGTGCTATTACTAGAAGCAGTGACAATCAAGAAAAGCTCTCGTTAGCAAGATATGCTGACCACACAGAAATGCCAATCATACAGACAGAGAAGTAGTAATTAGGTAATTGCCAAGAGTACTGAGCAGTCACGGGGCCCAGCTCCACCCACCCAATACACTTCCTCTCCTACTACCACTACTAGAACAGTGAACAATGACCAAAGCTAATTATGCACTCTGAGAATAAAGTACAAGATATTAAATTTAAGTAGGTTTGCAGAAACTCACGTGTGAGGAAAGAGAGGAGTCATATGCCACTTGGGGGTCTTCATTACTGGCACATACATCCACAGGATCTTCAAACAGGAGATCCTGAGAGGGAGCCACTGCCGGGGTCACGTTGAGAATATTAAACTCTGTCTTAGCTGACTGGGAAGCAACGCACAGGTTGTAGGAATAGGGCAAAGTCCCCTCACTGTAATTGGGAAGAACCCCAGGTGCAGACTTGGAACTGAGACCAGGCTGAAAGCAGCCCCAAGCAGCAGCACTGGAGGAGCGTCGCAGGCGCAGGGCCACCGCCAGAATCACCGCCAGGAGGAAGAGCACGGAGATCAAGGCCAAGGCCACCACCAGATAAAATTGCAACTCAGCCTGGGGGTCAGAGGGTGTGGGACGTTCGCTGAGGTCCGGCAAGGCCTCTTGTAGGCTGTCAGCGAAGACTAGGAGCAGCGTGGCAGTTGCTGAGAGAGGCGGCTGTCCCCCGTCTCGCACAGCGACCAGCAGGCGCTGACGGACAGCGTCCCTTTCACCAAAAGCACGCGCTGTGCGCACCTCACCCGTGCGCAGCCCCAGGCTGAACAGTCCAGGTTCGCTGGCCTGCAGCACGTGGTAGGACAGCCAGGCATTGTGTCCCGAGTCGGCGTCCACCGCCACCACCTTGGTGACCAGATAGCCCGGCTGCGCGGCGCGCGGCACTGTGTCGAAGAGCGCAGAGCCGTCGGGCCCCAGCGCCGGGTAAAGCACCCTTGGCGCGTTGTCGTTGTGGTCGGCCACCAACACCCGCAGGCTGACATTGGCGCTGAGCACGGGTGAGCCCTGGTCGCGAGCCTGCAGCGTCAGCTGGAAGGCGCGCAGCTGCTCGTGGTCGAAGGAGCGCTGAGCGAACACCACGCCGCTCTGTGGGTTCACGGACACAAAGGATGACAGCGCCCGAGGCTCCAGATCGCTGGCCACGATGGAGTAGGATACTTGACCGTTGGGTCCCAGGTCGGGATCAGAGGCGCTGACTTGGGCGATGGAGGCTCCAGGTGTGTTGTTCTCAGCTACGTGAACCAGGTAGGCGGACTGTTGGAAAACCGGGGCGTTGTCATTGACGTCACCGATGTGTACTGTGATGGTGGTGCTGGAGGAGAGGGATGGCTTGCCCTTGTCAGCAGCTGTGATGGTGATATTGTACTCTGCTATCTGCTCCCGGTCTAAAGCACTTTCAATCATCAGCTTGTAATAATTCTTGGAGGTGGATTCTAATTTGAAGGGAACTTCTTCCTGAATATAGCATGTCACCAGACCATTTTGCCCAGAATCTTGGTCATGCACTTTAATGAGGGCTATTACAGTTCCAAGGTCTGAGTTTTCGGGAATCTTGTTAGAAAAGGACATAAATGTCACCTCCGGTGCATTGTCATTCTCATCGACAATTTCAATATGAACATTGCAGTGAGCTGTGTGTACTCCTCCATCCTTGGCTTCTATAGCCAACATATATATACTTGTCTCTTCAAAGTCCAATGTACCATTGGTTGTGATATCACCAGTGTTTGGATTGAGATTAAAGAGGAAGTTGGTACTTGTTGGGGCATTGAGGAAGGCATAGGTGATCTGTGCATTAACACCCTCATCCTGGTCAGTGGCCTTCACACACAGCACAGAGGTTCCCCAGGGCACGTTTTCTTGGAGTCTAACTCTGTATGTGTCCTGGCTGAACACTGGAGCATTATCATTGGCATCCATGACCCGGATCTGGATCTGGGTGGTACCACTGAGAGGGGGCTCCCCGCCATCCACGGCAGTCAGGGTTAAGCGGTGGAAACTCTGCTGTTCTCTGTCCAGAGGTTTTTCCAGCAGTAATTCTGGGTATTTACTTCCATCGGGACTTTCTTTTGTTGACAGAGAGAAGTAGTCATTGGGGTTGATGGCGTAAACTTTCAATGAGTTACTTTCTACATCTGCATCCTGTGCAGAATCCAGTGGGAATTTTACTCCTGGTAATGCTGACTCACAGATTTCTAAGTCAATGCCTTTTGCAATGAAATGTGGCACATTGTCATTAATATCTTGGATTGCAACAATCACATGGAACACATTCATTGGGTTTTCAGCGACAACTTCAAATTCTAGTGCACACTTAGATTTTCTCCCACAAATCTTCTCTCTATCTATCCTACCGCTCACTAACAAGTCCCCACTCTCCATATTCACATTGAAAAATTCTTCTGCACTAACCCGCAGCTTTCGGGCTGGCAACTCCTGGACACTGAGTCTCAGATCCTTGGCGAGGTTTCCCACCCTGGATCCCTTGGCCAGCTCCTCTGGAATCATGTACTGTGTCTGCTGGGAGATGGCCCCGCACAACAAAGACAGCAAGAAGAGAAACAGTACCTGCCTTTTCATCATTTCAGCTTGTCTGGAGCTCCTTTGCATTTCTTGTACGTGAAGAAGCTTCTTTTCAAGATGTCTCTGGGATGTTTAAAAAATCAGTGACATACCCTGGATGTTTGGGACTTGATGTTAAGACTTGCTAGGCGCTTGCGGATGCACAGGAGCAGAGTAGGTGGTGTTCTGCTGTGCGCAGGACAAAGCTGGAAAGCACTCTGCCGGAAACTCCGCAGAACAGAGAATCCCTTTCTTCCCTTTGGTCTACAGCGGCGCCCAGAGGTTGTCTGGGAAAACTGCATCTTGCCTAGCTATTTATCCTCAAAGTGTAAGCTGTTGAATTTACGCATTGTCCTTTTATTTGTTGGAAAGAACTAAGCATTTAAATTTTCCCTTTAAATGTGAAATTTTCTAGGTTTTTTTGCCATCTCATAAGAGTTGCCACCATCGTACGTTATTATTTTTTATTAAAACATTTCATGAAGCATAGGCATTTTTTTTCAGTGGGGGAGGGGGTGGCAAAAAGATCTTCCATGATTTCACTGTATTTATAAAGTTGGTTTGACTAGTATGAATATAATGAAATAAGTTATTGGCTTTTTATCCACATTTTGATCAACTATGATCTTTGCATTTTTGTAAATCCATAACTTCCCCTATTTTGTATTTTAACTCTCCTCATGTACACTTCATCAATTCAGTAATATTTTTCAAAGAATGCTGTAGGCTTATTTTTAACACATTGCTCACCGTCTTAAAACATAATCTTCCTGTTATGTACAGTAGAAACCGATATTTTGTTAAAGGGACCTATTTAGCATTTGGGCACACATACATGCATCTATGAGGCTGAATCTTGTGTAAGTCATATTTAATTTTAGGAAACCAGTGCTTCTTTCTTATTAGAATGTATATGTAGTGCTCCATAATGCCAATTTTCATCTCCAGTCAATGTATATCATTGATAAGTGAAATGAGTTTGACTTGATTACTAGTTTTAACCTTAGAGAGGCATTGAGAGTCCTTAGACACTCCAGTTTAGAACTTACCTGCAATCCTTGAACTGGTCTTGAGTAACTAAAACAAACCAATGCACCATCAAATAGATACCAACTCAACAATTTGTTCTATGATTTGGCAGTGCTGACCCATATGCATCGTACACTCCAGGCAAAACAGACTACTACCTGTTTTCCTAAGACATCCTTTCCCTTGTTTTCCCTACTTCACACCTTTATATTTTCTCTTCCTTTTATTAGAATCCCTTCTCCCATCCTCTGGTAATGAATTCTTTCTGTAGTGAAAACAGGATGTCTGAGAGCTTTCCTTCTATTTGCATCTTTACAACATATATGTAGGTGATGTTTTGTATGGGATTCTTAGAAATTATTTCTCTTTGAACATCCAAAGTTCTCCTGGCACTAGCCATTTAACAATTTTTTCTCCTTACAAAAAAGTGATGTTAATATTATAAAGATTTTTCCTAAAAAGATATTCCAAAGGTTATGTGCCATTTCTCCCATTTTCCATTTGCATGCTTGAGTAAGAACACACCCTTCTCTGTTTCCAGTTATTTTGTTCAGGCCCTGTTGTCACACACTTTTCAATGTGCCTCTTTCTAACATATTGAGGAAGACATTTGCTCCTTAGTTTGAGATCTAATGAAATATATTTTGGTCTAACTTTGGATGACTCTCCAAGATGACTTTATGGGTAGAAGTAATTTTATAAATTTCAAAATGAACCAAGTATTTCTGGCCCAAGAAAATTGAAGACTCCTGTTTCAGTATTGCAGCATATGGTCTGGAAATCTCTCACAAAGCCTTAGACATATCTCCTTAGATATTTTTTCTTTTCAAAGGACAAGACATACCACTCCAAGACTACTAACAGTTTAGGCGATTGATTTCACTTTCAGGCAAACAGCTTAAATCAACATGAACACACACATACACGCACATTTTAGTTATACATAATAGGGACTACAGGCCAAGTGAAAACGATTTGACCATCTACATTTTTTTACCACACAATTGTTATGTCTTTGAGATGAAGGTTGTGGCCTGGCTTGGAAGAAGTTAAGAATAATTTTATGGGAGCCTAAAATAACTAACTAACTATACATATACATACATACATACATATATATGGTGCACACACATATATACACACACATGCATACACTTGTTTGTAACAGGATAGGTTAGGTAGGCTGGAGTGACAAACTTCAAGCCACACGGATTTAACATGGTCTATCTGTCACAGATATAGGTCATACTGGGTAAACCACAGGATTATTTTTTCATCGTAGCATTTCAAGGACTCAGATAGAGGAGCAGCCACAATTTCAAAGAGTATCAGAGATCTGGAAATTCTCACAAAGGAACCTGGAGCTTCCTCCAAAAAGAGACACACCTACTTCCATTTACAATATCTTGGCAGACCTAGTTACCTATGTCCACTCAGCTACCCAGACCAGGAAGTGCAGCCCTACCACAGGCCCAAAAGGAGAGAGGAACAAATATTTAAACAACAGGACTAAGCTTTATAATAACCATGCTGGCATAATTGTGTCTTATAATATTCAAAAAATGAAATAAACTCACCTGAAGTAGCTTGGAGTCTCCTTTTGCTTCCAGTAAATCTTGAGCTGCCAGGAGAGGCTCACTTTTCTCACAGCTCTCCTGGCTGATGAGTGTGTCAGCATAGTTGGGCTGGGGGAAGATCAGGTGACTCTTCCGGGAGTCCGCAGTGAGGGAGACCTCATGAGAATAGGTCTGCAGGAAAGCCTGCACCCCGTCCATGCCCACAAAGTGCGAGGCGGGCACACCCGCCAACCCCCCTCCTGAAGCCTGGAGCAGACGTGACTTATGCCAGCGCCGCAGCCTGAGTGCCAGCAGCACAATGACAAAGGCAAGGAAGAGACAAGAGACTGCAGCCACTGCCACCACCAGGTACAATGTGAGGTCCGAGGCCTCTGGGGTTGAAGGGATCTCAAGACTGCCTATATCAGCCAACAAGTCTGGGATGCTGTCAGCCACAGCCACAGTGAGTGTGACAGTTGCTGAGAGAGGAGGCTGTCCATGATCCTGGACGGCCACCACCAGACTCTGCTTGAGTGCATCTCTGTCCAGCAGGGCACGTGCAGTGCGCACCTCACCTGTGTGCAGCCCCACCACAAAGAGCCCTGGTTCACTGGCCTTGAGCAGGCGGTAGGACAGCCAGGCATTCTGGCCTGAGTCTCTGTCTACTGCCACCACTTTAGTCACCAGGTAGCCGGGTTCTGCAGAGCGGGGTGCCAGCTCCACACCAGTAGAACCATCTGTGGGGAGGGTGGGGTAGAGGATTTCAGGTGCATTGTCGTTTTGGTCCAACACAAACAAGCTTAGAGACACATTGCTGCTGAGAGGAGGGTCCCCACTGTCACTGGCTGTCACCAGTAGCTTCAGGTCTCTAACCTGCTCATAGTCAAAAGATCGAAGAGCATAGAGGACTCCTGTATCAGAGTTGATGGAGATATAAGTGGAGAGAGGTGCCCCCTGGACAGTATCTTCAGTAAGTGCGTAAGTGATATGGGCGTTCTCGATGCTGTCAGGGTCCTGGGCAGTAACAGAGAAGATGGAAGCACCCCTGGGGTTGTTTTCTGGAATGTAGGCAGAATAGGAGGCGTGAGTGAAGGCAGGTGGGTTGTCATTGATGTCTTCCACATGCAGCGTGATGTGAATGTCTGTAGACAGTGGTGGACTTCCCTCATCTGTTGCTCTCAGAGTGATGTTATATTGAGAAGTCTGTTCCCTGTCCAGGGATCTGGCTGTCACTAATCGGTAATATTGGTCTATCGATTTTTCCAAATTAAATGGCATATTGCCCAGGACAACAACTGTGACTTGCCCATTTTGCCCAGAATCCCGGTCATGGACATTGACAAGGGCAACTTCTTTTCCAGTGGTTGCCTCTTCTGAGACTGATCCTGTGAAAGAAGTGATTGTAATTTCTGGAGCATTGTCATTCACATCCAGAACTGTCACGAGAACCTTAGCTTTTGAGAGGAGACCTGGTCCATCTTGTGCTTCAATTTTAATTTCATGGAATATAGCATCCTCATAATCTAGATTTTTTAATATGGTTATGTCTCCAGTGACTGAGTTGAGATTAAAAATATGAGCAATTTTTCCAGGCATTTTGTCTAGCATATAGGACACTTGAGCATTGAATCCTTCATCAGGGTCAGTGGCATTCACAGTGAGCAGCCGGGTACCCACTGGCAAGTTCTCCTGAACACTTACTCGGTACTCAGGCTGAGTAAATACTGGTGGGTTGTCATTCGCATCCAGAACTATTACTTGGATGCACAAGTTGCCAGAGTGAACAGGGTCCCCACCATCAGAAGCAGTGAGGACAAGCTGATGAACTTTCTTTTCCTCACGGTCCAGAGCCCGCTCTAGCACCAGCTCTGGGTACTTGGCCCCATCAGACACAATCTTCACAGCCAAGGAGAAGTAGTCATTGGGGGTGAGCTGGTACTTCTGCAGCGAGTTCATGCCTACATCTGGGTCAAATGCAGTCTTAAGTGGAAATCGAGTTCCAGGAGCCGTTAGTTCACCGATTTTTATTTCCAATTCCTCCGTTAGAAAATCAGGAGCATTGTCATTAATATCTTTAATTTCTATTTCTACTTCAAAAATTTTCAATTTGTCTTCAACCAGGATGTTAAATTTTACTAGACACCGTGTGCTTTGAGCACAGAGCTCCTCCCGGTCTATCCTGCCCGCGGTGACCAAGCTGCCACTTCGCAAGTTCAGAGCAAAGAGCTGCGTCCTACCTCTGGAGACGATGCGGACTCCGCGCTCTGTCAGCTCCGGAGGCTTCAGCGCCAGGTCCTTGGAGATGTTGCCCACGAAGGAGCCTTTGTCCAGCTCCTCCAGCACTGAGTAGTGGATCTGCCCGGATCCAGTCTTGCACAGCGTCCCCAGGAGCATGCACAGCAGGGCCAGTCCTCCGCCGTTTCTGATCAGATAATTCGTCATTTCCTTTTCGGTGAATTATTT